TGGGCCACAGGTAGTGTCAAGTCAGTGCATGTGCCCCCCAACCCCAATCCCCATGGGGATTCTGGAGTCTCTGTGTCCTTGCCTGTCAGTTCCCCAAGATGGGCAACTATTACAGGAACAAGAGCACAGGCTTTGAAATCAAATACCAGTCCTGCCACTGACTCCAGCCCCAGTTTTCTGATCTGTAAAATGAGGACACCACTTCCTAGCTTCCTTGTGAGTACCCCGTGAGGTAATGCTTGTGAAAGTGCTTTGTAACAGTCACTGTGCTATGGCTTTGTTAGTTACAAGGATGCCGGGGGAGTGATTTCCCTCCCTCCTCCATATCCCAAAGGCTTGACCCTTTCCAGATGCTGCAACTGAAGGTGGCTCTGCATCTCTGAATGTGCAGCCATGGCAACCACTGCCTCCTGCTCGTATGTCAACAGTGCAGGATGGGGTTCTGTCGCCCCATCACTGCGGGGCCTGGGCGTGGCAGAGGAGCAGGCTCACGGCAAGTCCTCCCTTCCTTCCCTTCCGAAGTGGTCAGGGGAGGATTCAGGGAGGCTCTTATCTATCTTTGTCTGCTCTGCCCCCTCCAACAGCAGCTCGCTTTGGTGCTGGAGCAATATCTTCCAACTTTAGCACACCCCAAAATCAACTGGGCAGCTTACAAAAATGCAGAGTCCTGCGCCTCACTCCAGAAAGTCTGATTCAACAGGTCTGAGAGGGTACTGGGCACCTGCATTCTTACTCTGCTCCCCTGGAGCCACACCTGCAAAAACCCTGCACAGTGGGGCAACCCACTGGCTTATACTGCTAGTCTCCACAACATGGCCAGTCACTTCATTATTCATTCATTCTTTCACCCACTTATTCACTCATCAGTTTATTTGCTTAATCATCCAATTATTCATTCATCCACTCACATGTAAATAATCATTCCCTCATTTGTTTTCTTACTTATTTAAAGACATTTATTAATGTCTTAAGCTCTGGGAGATGAGGAGAGAATTAAGGCTGCAATCCCTGCAACCCTGCAGGAGGTTCCAGGCAGTGTTTTTCAGACTGTAGCAAAATGAATTTAATGGATCCACTAGCATATTTTAAAAAGTGAAACAGAATAGGCTATAATACAAAATATTAGTGTGCATAGCAGTTAGCAAGGGAAAATAGTGTTTGGGAAACTTTTGCATCCAGTGTACATGTGGGTGTGGGTATTGGATTTTAGTGTGAAATGTATTTTCCGCTGGGGGGCTGGTGTCATGGAAATAAATGTCAATGCTGCATGCTGGTTGCTATGGGGGGTGTGCTGGGGGGCAGCACAGCTCTATCCCTCTGCCAGGATGGCACTGGGAGGCTTCACACAGAAGGTGACATTTGAGCTGGGTCTTGAACCATGAGAGGAGTTTTTCCACTGAAGAAGGAGGAAGGGGGGTGCAGGTGGATGGAACAGCATGTGCAAAAGCACAGAGTCATGGAAAAGCAGAGAGAAGAGCAAGGTGACCAGTGGGCCTGTGGTGTGGAAGGTGCAGGTGGAAATGGAGTGAGTGGAGGCTGAAGATTAAGAGAAGACTGGATCCCAAAGGGTGTGAATGCCAGGGAAAGTGCTTGGGTTTTAGTATGATACCATCAGACCCCCTGGGGAGACAGCCAGGAAGTGACGTGGTCAGAGTGGCCATCTGGCGAGACCACACCAGCAAGGCTGGGGCAGGGAGGCCAGCGGACGACTGAGGCTGTTAGGTGGTGTGAGGTGGTGATAATCAGAGCCAGGCAGTGGTCTGTGCTTGGGGTTGGGAGGTAAGGATACGCGTGAGAAGGATGTGATGACTGGCCAGGTGGGGAGAGCATTCAGAAGAGTCTGCAGTGATGCCTGGGTTCCTGTTGTGGGAAGCTGGGTAGATGGAGAAACCGCTGATTCTCCTCCTCTTAAGGGTCCCCACATGATCTCAGCACAGATACTCTCCCTGGGAAACGGAGGTAGTCGCTCAGTCCTCCAATCGGGAGAGGAGGTTTTATAGCCTTATAATTAAAAACATTAAGTTGGCAATATAGGCTCGTTATACGAATCATAAGAGCAGTGTGATGTCCATTGCTAACCCTACTTCCCCTATTCTGAGTATCTGGAGGATTACACTTCCCCTCACCCCTGGGATGGCTAATTTTATATATTAACTTGACTGGGCCATGGGGTACCCAGATATCTGGCCAAACATTATTTCTGGGTATGTTTGTAAGGGTGTTTCCGGAAGAAATTCATATTTGTGTTGGTGGGCTTCACCCAACCTGTGAAGGGCCTGAATAGAACAAAAAGTAACAGAAAGGGAGTATTTTCTCCCTCTGCCTGATTGCTGGAGCTGGGGCCTTGTTCTTCTCCTGCCTTCAGACTGGGGCTCACACCATTGGCTCTCCTGGTTCTCAGGACTTTGGACTCAGACTAGAAACATACCATCAGCTTTCCTGGGGCTCCAGCTTGCAGACAAAATATTGCGGAACTTCTCAGCTTCCATAATAGCACGAGCCAATTATTATAATAAACCTCTTTAGACAGATAAATAGATATAGATGCAGACAGATATCTATGTATCTCCTATTGGTTCTGTTTCTCTAGAGAACCCTGACCAATGCACCCTTAAAGTGGGGCATGGGCCTATGACTCACAGGGCTGCTGTTCTAAAACTGGCCTGTCTCACACAAAGGGTGACAGCAATACCGTGTGAGGATTCTCATCTTTATCTGGAGTGTCTGGAGGGCTGTCACTTCAGACTGGTCCCACTGCCCAGGTCCCCCTTCCCAGCTTGGCAAAGACTGATCTGTGGGGTGGAGGGCTCTGGACTGTTGCTTCTGGGGCTTCTGAGTCAGGCAGCAGCGCCACCTGCTGGAGATATGAATCCCTCTGCATCTCTTGCTGCCTGGTGGCGGGGAGGGAAGGGGCCAGGCAAGCTCTGGGACTTAGCCCTGAGGCCCTCGAAGATTTGAAGTATGTGCCTACAGGGCATGAGTGGAGAGACCCCATCATTCCCACATTTATTCACAGCATGGTTAAGAGCTCCAGACCCGGGCTCTGACAGACCTGGGCTCTGACAGACCTGGGTGCAGTTCCTAGCTGGACCATTTTCTAGCTGTGGAACCCTGAGCTACTCCCGAGCCTCAGGTGCCTCATCTGTAAAACGAGTGTGATCATAACACCTACCTCATGGATGTGGTGAGGGTCAACCTGGTAATGACCACATAACACACCTCAAAAAGGCCTTCCCAGACTATGCCCTCCTGAGAGTTCCCCCATCTCCCTCCAAGCCATTTTTATCCTTTTACTTTGCCTTGTTTTTTTCATTATATATATATAGCACGTACCACCATCTGACATTTTAATATTCCTTGTTCACTATCTTTCCCACAAAATGACACGTCTGTCATGGTAAAGACTCCGTTCACTGCTGTGTCCCAAGAGCCTCCTGCAGGGCTGGGTACATCGCACAGCTCAACAAAAATATTCATGGGTTGAAACACACTTTGTATTTTAACACTAAGTATTCAGTAAACATTACTGTTACTGTGATTATGCATTCATTTATGCATTTATGCATTTATTCATTTGCTCAGCTCTTAGTTGATTCACTCACTCACATATATATATTTTTAATCGTGGTAAAACATATATAACACAAAACTTACCATTTTAACCATTATTTTCTATTTTTTTATTGGAGTATAATTGCTTTACATTGTTGTGTTAGTTTCTGCTATACAATGAAGTGAATGAGCTATTATGTATACATATCTCCCATCCCTCTTGGACCTCCATCCACGCCCCCATCCCACCCATCTAGGTCATCACAGAGCACAGAGCTGAGCTCCCTGTGCTATACAGCAAGTTCCCACTAGCTATCTATTTTACACATGGTAGTGTATTTATGTTAAACCTAATCTCCCAATTCGTCCCACCTTCCCCTTCCCTGCCATGTCCACGCGTCCATTCTCTACGTCTGCATCTCTATTCCTGCCTGCAAATAGGTTCATCTGTACCATTTTTCTATATTCCACATATATGCGTTAATATACAATATTTGTTCTTCTCTTTCTGACTTACTTCAGTCTGTATGACAGACTCTAGGTCCATCTGCATCTCTACAAATGACCCAATTTCGTTCCTTTTTATGGCTGAGTAATATTCCATTATATATGTGTACCACATCTTCTTTATCCATTCATCTGTCGATGGACATTTAGGTTGTTTCCATGTCCTGCTTATTGTAAATTGTGCAGCAATGAACATTGTGGCACATGTCTCTTTTTGAATTATGGTTTTCTCAGCGTATATGCCCAGTAGTGGGATTGCTGGGTCATATGGTAATTCTATTTTTAGTTTTTTAAAGAACCTCCATACTGTTCTCCACAGTGGCTGTATCAATTTACATTCCCACCAACAGTACAAGAGGGTTCCCTTTTCTCCACACCCTCTCCAGCATTTATTGTTTGTAGATATTTTGGTGATGGCCATTCTGACCTGTGAGGTGATACCTCACTGTAGTTGTGATTTGCATTTCTCTAATAATTAGTGATGTTGAGCATCTTTTCATGTGCCTCTTGGCCATGTGTATGTCTTCTTTGGAGAAATGTCTATTTAGATCTTCCGCCCATTTTTTTGATTGTATTTTTTGTTGTTTTGATATTGAACTGCATAAGCTGTTTGTACATTTTGGAGATTAATCCTTTGTCCGTTGCTTTATTTGCAAATATTGGGGTGGCCAAAAAGTACCTTTGGTTTTTAAGTAAAAATAAAAGACACATTATTTATTTATTAATTTATTATTATTATTATTAATTTATTTATTTATTTTTGGTGATATGTGGGCCTCTCACTGTTGTGGCCTCTCCCGTTGCGGAGCACAGGCTCCAGACGCACAGGCTCAGCGGCCACGGCTCAGCGTGTCCATGGCTCATGGACATGGCACAAACCCGTGTCCCCTGCACCAGCAGGCAGACTCTCAACCACTGCGCCACCAGGGAAGCCCAAAAGACACATTTCTAATTTTCACCAAGAAGTTTATTGAATAACGTATTCACCCTTTTGTTCCACTACCTTCTGTCATCTTTCAGGCAACTTCATAATTCCATCTTCCCAAAATTTTTATCTTTTTGAGCAAAGAACTGTTCCAGGTGCCTTTTATAGTCTTCCAGTGAATTGAAATTTTTTCCATTAAGGGAATTTGGTAAAGACCAAAATAAATGGAAATCCGAAGGTGCAATGTCTGGTGAGTAAGATGGATGAATCAGAACTTCCCAGCTAAACTGTAACAGATTTTGCCCGGTCATCAAAGAAACACACGGTATTGCGTTATCCTGATGGAAGATTATGTGTTTTCTGTTGATTAATTCTGGACACTTTTCATCGAGTGCTGCTTTCATTTGGTCTAATTGGGAGCAGTACTTGTTGGAATTAATCGTTTGGTTTTCCGGAAGGAGCTCATAATACAGGACTCCCTTCTAATCCCACCACTTACACAACATCACCTTCTCTGGATGAAGACCAGCATTTGGTGTGGTTGGTGGTGGTTCATTTCACTTGCCCCACGATCTCTTTCATTCCTCATTATTGTACAGCATCCACTTTTCATCATGTGTCACAATTTGTCTTAAAAATGAAATGTTTTCATTATGTTTAAATAAAGAATCGCATGTAGAAATACGGCCAAGAAGGTTTTTTTTGCTTAACCTAAACATCAAAGCGATGAACATAACCAAGCTGGTGCAAATGATTTTCAACACTTGATTTGTATATTTTGAGTATGTTGGCTATCTCCCGCGTGGTATAACGTTGATTGTTCTCAATGTCTCAATTTGATCGCTATCAACTTCAACTGGTCTACCCGACTGTGGAGCATCATCCAGCGGGAAATCTCCAGCATGAAACTTTGCAGACCACTTCTGACACGTCTGATCAGTCACAGCACCTTCTCCATACACTGCACAAATCTCGGCTGTGTTTTTACCTTTCCTGAAATAATGAAACATAATACACTGAAAATGTTGCTTTTTTAATTCCATTTTCAATATTAAAATGGCTACACAAAAATTCACCAATTTTGATAAATCTTTGTTTAAATGCATGCTGATATGACAGCTGTCACATACAATCTAACAAAATTGTTTCAAATGAAGTTAAAGACAACTAAGTGCTACTAGAGTCATCTTACGGAAAAAACCAAACAAACCTTTTGACCAACCCAATATTTTCTCCCATTCTAGGGGTTATCTTTTTGTCTTGTTTATGGTTTCCTTTGATGTGCAAAAGCTTTGAAGTTTCATTAGGCCCCATTTGCTTATTTTTGTTTTTATTTTCATTACTCTAGGAGGTGGGTCAAAAAAGATCTTCGTGTGATTAATGTCAGAGAGCGTTTTTCCTATGTTTTCCTCTAAGAGTTTTACAGTGGCTGGCCTTACATTTACGTCTTTAATCCATTTTGAGTTTATTTTTGTGTATGGTGTTAGGGAGTGTTCTAATTTCATTCTTTTACATGGAGCTATCCAGTTTTCCCAGCACCACTTATTGAAGAGACTGTCTTTTCTCCATTGTATATCCTTGCCTCCTTCGTCATAGATTAGTTGACCACAAGTGTGTGGGTTTGTCTCTGGGCTTTCTATCCTGTTCCATTGATCTGTATTTCTGTTTTTTGTGCCAGTACCGTATTGTCTTGATTACTGTAGCTTTGTAATACAGACTGAAGTCGGGGAGCATGATTCCTCCAGCTCCATTTTCTTCCCTCAAGGTTGCTTTGGCTCTTGAGGGTCTTTTGTGTTTCCATACAAATTGTAAAATTTTTTGTCTAATTCTCTGAAAAATGCCATTGGTAATTTGGTAGGGATTGCACTGAATCTGTAGACTGCTTTGGGTAGTATTGTCATTTTGACAATATTGATTCTTCTAATCCAAGAACATGGTATATCTCTCCATCTGTTTGCATCATCTTTGACTTCTTTCATCAGTGTTTTATAGTTTTCTGAGTACAGTTCTTTTGCCTCCTTAGGTAGGTTTATTCCTAGGTATTTTATTCTTTTTGTTGTGATGGCAAATGTGATTGTTTTCTTAATTTCTCTTTCTGATCTTTTGTTGTTAATGTATAGGAACGCAAGAGATTTCTGTGCATTCATTTCATATCCTGCCACTTAATCATATTCACTGATTAGCTCTAGTAGTTTTCTGGAGGCATCTTTAGGATTTTCTATGTACAGTATCATGTCATCTGCAAATGACATGATAGTTTTACTTCTTCTTTTCCAATTTGGATTCCTTTTATTTTTCTTCTCTGATTGCCGTGGCTAGGACTTCTAAAACTATGTTGAATAAGAGTGGAGAGAGTGGACATCCTTGTCTTGTTCCTGACCTTAGAGGAAATGCTTTCAGTTTTTCACCATTGAGAGTGATGCTTGCTGTGGGGCTGTCATATACGGCCTTTATCATGTTGAGGTAGGTTCCCTCTATGCCTACTTTCTGGAGAGTGGGTGTTGAGTTTTGTCAAAAGCTTTTTGTGCATCTAAGATGATCATATGGTTTTTATTCTTTAATTTTTTAAGTGTGCAGGTACATTCACACTGTTGTGCAACCATCACCACCATCCATCTCCAGAACTTTCTCATCTTCCCAAACTGAAATTCTGTCCCCATTAAATACCAACTCCCCATCCCCCGCCCCCAGGCCCTGGAAACCACCATTTTACTTTCTGTCTCTATGATTTTGGATACTCTAGGGACCTCATACAAGAGGAATCACCGTTTTATCTTTTTGTCACATGTATTTCTGAGTCCCTACTACATACGCAGGAAGTGGTTCTTGTAGTGTTACAGTAAGGGTTGGATGAGATCAATGCAGGTAAACCACCTGGAACAGGGCCCGTCACAGGAGCTGTGAGGTGCTGCAGCCTGGGCAGGGAATTAATTCTCAGACTCCTGTCTCTATTTTTCTCTGTGGCTGCTATACTCAGCACGGACACCATGTGGCAGCCTCTCGCCATGAAGAGGCCTTTGGTTGCTGCCTTTAGGGGAGCAGAGATGCTGGCAGAAGAGGGGGCCTGTCTGGGGCTCCAGGGGCAGCAGGAAGTGGTTAAGAAGAAGATTCCAGGGGGTGGGATACAGGGGCCTATGTCCTTAAGGGTTTGAATCCAGTGCAGATGGGTGGCAAGGCCCCAACAAGGAGCAGGCAGAGGAGAAGAGAGAAAGGGGCAGCATTTATAGGGGAAAGTGCACGGGCTGGCACGGGACACATGTGGGCTCAAGCCCAGCTCAGCCACTTTTCTGCTGTGTGGTGTTGGGTGAGTCTCTTCACCTCTTTGAGCCTCCACTTCAGCATCTGTAAAATAGGTCTCCTGATAAGACCCTCTGCAGGGTAGTCAGGAAAAGTGAAAACACAGCAAGTGTTACTTGTTTATTGGTATTTATTTGTGTTTACTGATGTGGACGAGAGAAAGTTTCTCTCTGTGACCATCGCAGAGCCAGGAGGTGAGGGGAATCTTTATTCCTCTTCCTGCCGTTCACACTAAGGGTCACCCTGTTCCCTACTTACTAAGTTCTCACTGCCCGCCAGCCCCTGAGCCCGGTGTTTGGCCACCCTGGGAGGTCAGCAGTTCTCCAAACCACTTTATAGCCTGTGGCTCCGAAGGCTCTCCTGCCTGCTTCTCAGCCCCAGCTGCTTCTGTAAGCTCTTTTTCTTTCCAAGCAAGAGTGACCAGGCAGGAGTGGTCATATCCCCATTTTACAGATTCCTTGCTAATCTCAGAAACTAGTTTTTATTGCCCACAAGAAGTCTGATTTAAGAATCAGACACAAAAACTCACATATGGTATGATTCCATTTATATGAAATGTCCAGAGACGGTACATCCATAGAGACAGAAAGTAGGTTAGTGCTTACCGGGGCCTGGGGGAGGGGAGGATGAGGAGAAACTGTTTAGTGGGGTTTTATTTTGGAGTGACGAAATGTTTTGGAACAAGATAGAGGTGGTTGTATAACGTTGTGAATGGACTGAACATCACTGAATTGTTCTCTATAAAATGGTTGATTTTTTGGTAATTTCACCTCAATTTAAAAAAAAAGAAGTCTGATTTAGGAATATGTTACTGTTATTGTGACTATCAAAGATAAGGCTGGTGGGCAGGTGCAGTGGCCTTCCAAACCTTGAAATCCAAGACTAGAGCTTTACTCCCTCTAATAATTGAGGAAGGACCAGCATCCATTCATCTGTCTATGTGTCCACCAGCCTTCCAATCATTCATGTATCCATCCTCTCACCTACTCATCCACAATTTATGATTAATCTATCTATACTCTTATTATTCATCCACCAATATATCATCGCCTCTTGACACTCAGCTACTTGTCTGTTCATCCACCTACCCATCTATCCATCCATCCATCCACGCATCAATCCATCCATCCACCCATCCATCCACTCAGCAACCCATCTACCCAATCATCCACCAACCGCCCATCCATCCATCCATCCATCCATCCACTCATTCACCCATCCATCAGACCTTAAGCACCTTCTCAGTTCCAGGCACCATTATTTTAATGACAAGCAGCCCCAATTAGTCCCTAACCTCAAGGAGTTCCCTAAGCCCAATGGATGAGACATATTTTTAAGCAATTACAACAGAGTACGACAAATGCTCAAGGAGGGAAGCTGAGAAGTTGTGGAAACCCTTAGCAGGAGCAGCTAACTCGGCTTGGAGTTAGGGGAGTGTTAGGGAGGGCTTCCCCAAGTGCAGCAGTTTTCAGGAGGGGTGGGGTGGAGGAGGAGCAGGAAGGGGGCTTCCTGCAGAGGGAACTGCGAGTGTGGAGGTGAGACAGCACGGCAAAGGAATGTTCAGGGAGCTCAGAGTTAGTTAACAGTGGACGTGAGGGAGGGCAGTGACCAGAAAGGACGGAAGAGGGACCCCAGCCCCAGACCAGGTGGATGTGGGCTCCCCGGATCATGGCAAAGAGTCTGGGCTTCATGGGGAGGGATGGAGGGAGATGGGGAGCCTTGGAAGGTTTTAGGCAAGAGAGTGACAAGATTAAATCAGATCTGCATCCTAGACAGATCCCTCTGCTGCAGCTGGAGGCTGGGCTGGAGGGAGCGGGACTCGAGGAAGGTGGGGAAGAGCCAGACGAGGGGGTCCCGGGCTGCCTAGCTGTCTGTGGAAGTGACCGGATTACAGTAGCCAGTGTTGTGGGGTTCTCACTCGCTGCCTCCCAGCCCCAGCTGCCCTCAGCAGGCCCCCCTTCCCTCCTCTAAGCCCAGCTGACTGGGCCCCCGCTGAGATCTCAAGTGATGGGAGCCTGATGCTTCATCACTTTGCAGGAAGTGGTGGTTACGCGGTCCAGGGTTTTGCCTCTGGCTGTTCTGTGGACTCAGAACCACTGAGAGGGGCAGAGAGTGGAGGAGGGAGGAGGATCCCCTTCCAGGGGCAGGGGTCCAGGATCTACAGGGGACAGGCCCTTCTTCTGGTGGCCATACCCTCCCCACCCCATGTCACAACCCTGCACAGGGGCTGTTCCTGCAATGCCTCTTACTCTATTGCCTCCTTGAGAAGGGGCAGGGATCCCATTTCACAGACAAGGAAATTGAGGCACAGAGAGGCTGAGTGACTTGCCCAAAGGCACACACTGAGAAAGCAGCCCCATGGAGGCTTGAACACACCTGCCTGACCCCTGAGCCTCCGCCCTTTCAACTCCCTTAATATCTGTCATCTTAAAAAAACTGCTACAAAGTACAATGCATGCCTGATTTCCACATCCACACGTCCACACTGAGAAGCAGAATAAACTGAGGACCCAGCGTGCAGGCCAGGAGCCCTGGGGCCTGGCCCTGAATCCTGCTCCTCTCCTTACCAGAAGAGCTGTGTGACCTTGGGCAGGCTCCCTAGCCTCCCTGTGCCTCTGTGTTTTCATTTGCCAAACGGGATAATGAAAGTGACTACCAGGTGAGATATCGGGATGGACCAATGAATTAGCTTGTATAAATGTTTTAATAACAGTTAACATTTATTGAGTGCAGGTCATGTACCAGGCACTGTTCTTAAAGTTCACACATATTTATTAATTTAATTCTCACAACAGCCTTATGAGACAGGACTCACTATTAACCCTATTTTACAGATGAGGAAACAGAGGCCCAGAGAGGTGGATCACTTTGCCCTCGGTCATACAGCTAGGGAGAGCAGAGGCTGAGCTCTTCAGTCCGTTCTCTCACTGGTGCACCCTGAGGGACAACCATGTTCAATAACTGCTGGCCACAATGACTGCACCCATCACCACCACCAGCACCAGCATCACCCACCATCACCTGAACCTCAGCCCTGCTGCCAGGCCTCTGGGGAGATGGCTCAAGAGAAGGGACAAACATGGGCAGGGAGGGTCCTTCCTCCCCTTCATTTTGTCTGAGTAGACAACCCGAGAAGCCAGGCCGGCCAGCAAGGGGGGCAAGGGGAGCAGGAGAAGGAGCAAGGAGGCCTGGAGACACAGAGCCCCTGTTCGCCCCTGTGGCCCACACCACATTCTCCCGCCTCCCCTACACCACTAACAGCTAGTAGTCACAGTAATCTCATCTGCGGGGAGGGGCCCTCTCGGGGGGTCCTGGGTTCTGAGATCAGCCACCCTTCCTCACTGCAATTAGAAGACCCCAGTCCTGCAGGGGCCTCAGGAGGGAGCTGCAGGGATAGGAGGTGGCTCCCTCCCCACAGCCCTGCTCCCTCCGACCTCCACCCCAGCCTGCCCTGCCCTCCACCCCAGCCTGCCCTGCCCTCCCTGGCCAACGTCACCGTTCAGCACACAGGGGTTTCAGAGCCACCCTGATTCTCACTTTAGTTAAAAGGAAATGTCCTCCCCAGAGTTGTTGGGCTGGTTTTTCTTTTCCTCCTTGGCACATTGGCTCAGCCTCTGAGCCGGAGCCTGGTGCCTGGTTAATTGAAAGTTACACATGAGCAAGGACACAGCCCTCTTGGGAGGGAAGGAGGAGAGACACAAGCTGGTGTTGGCATTTTTCCTGCAGGGAGGAGCGACCAGGGGCCGGGGGGCAGAAGGCGAGCAGGGGGCTGGAGACGCCAACCCCGCCCCCCCTCAGAGCAGGCCCCCTCCAGCTGCTGCAGACCCTGTGGAAGCCCCAGACACCAAACATATCCCAACTCTAAATAATGCCTGTGCTCACTTTCTACAGAAAAAAATGACAAAACAGAGCAAGATAAAGAGACCAGAATGCTCTAGTCCTCCCACCAGCTGGAGATAATTGTTGCAAACACCTGGGTATGTACGGCCTTCCAGAACTTCTGGACACTTTGCCTAAACAAATCATTTTATTGCCTTCCCCCTCTTGATTATATAAGTGATAGATGCTCATCGTAAACAGCTTAGAAAATAAGTTTTAAAAGCATACAAAAAGTTTTAACCACTTACCCATAAAGGCACACCAAGAGACTGTCTATAGAGAAGAGTATAGAAAATGTGGGCTCTGGAGTCAGACAATCTTGGCCTTGATGAGAAACTTAATTTCTTGTGCCTCAATGGTCCCACCTGTGGAATGGGAATCATAAAAGGCCATCTCAGGGGTTGTTATGAAGGGGAATGAGATCAATGCATATCCTGCCTTGCCCTGCTCAGTAAATTTAGCCAGTATTGCTGCATACAGTGTTAACCTTTGGGGAGATTTCCTTCCAGGCATACAATACAATACAATACAACCCAACCCAACGCAACTGAATACAATGTGAATGACACTATGTATGTATAATTTTGAATCCTACTTATTTTACTCATCATTGAATTTTCGACACTTTCAGAAAAATGACACTGACTTTTCTTTTACCACATCACTTCTAATGGCTGGGTCATGTTTCGTGGGCTGGGAGTGCCATCATTTATCCCACAAACCCTACTGCTGAACTAATGGGTGAATTCCTTTCTTCTGTTGTTGTTATATATAATACTGTAATGAAAAACTTTTAATACAAATTTTGCCCAGCATTGCTGAGTATTTTCTAAGAGATTCCTAGAAGTGGAATTGCTGAGTCAAAAAGAATGAGAGGGGCTTCCCTGGTGGCACAGTGGTTGGGAGTCTGCCTGCCGATGCAGGGGACACGGGTTCGTGCCCTGGTCTGGGAGGATCCCACATGCTGCGGAACGGCTGGGCCCATGAGCCATGCCCTCTGGGCCTGTGTGTCCGGAGCCTGTGCTCCGCAACAGGAGAGGCCAGAGCGGTGAGAGGCCTGCGTACCGCAAAAAAAAAAAGAAAAGAGAATTCTTACTCTATTGCCAAATTATGTTCAGAAAGTTTTAAAAAAATCAATTTAGGTATCTGTCCTACATCTATAAATGTGTTCATTTCCCTGCATCCTTGCTGATACTGCCATTTATGTTTTTTTTTAATTTTGCAGATTTAATGGATGAGGAAGATTCCCTATAGAAGCTTTTTTAGTTACTAGGTGAAAAGATGAGCATCTTGGTATTTGGTGTTGAGTGTTTGGTAGCTAACAGAGCAAGTGTCTCATCTCTCTGCGCTTCTGGTCCCTTAACTGTGAACTGGGGATAATAATAATGTCTATTCCATAGGGTTGTTGTGAAGATAAAATGAGTTAATACATATAAACCTGCTAGAGTTCTTCTTGATAAATGTCAAATAAACCTCAGCAAGTATCATTATCTTTGTTGCTGTTGCTGCCAAATTTCACAGGCATAATTCAGGGCCTGTCTGCTAAAGGAAAGAACACTGTGTGATTTTGTGTAGGTCTCATGTCCTCTCTGGTCCTCAGTTTCTCCATCTGTCAAGTGGGGCTGAGAATGCCTGCCTTGTCCATCTTGGAGGGCTGTTGGAAGAAATCAATGAGGGTTTCCCTCTCAGAGGGCTGGGCACATGTGAGGGTTTGTGGCCTCTCTTCTTGCTTTATGGGCCTCATATTCCAAAAAGAGGTGCAGACAGTCCAGGAAGTCTGCCTGGAGGAAGGGCACCAAAGCCAAGACTTGAAAGAGAAGTTGGAGTCAGCCAGCTGGACATAAGGAGGAGGGGGCTGCAAGCAGAGCAAACAGCATGTGCAAAGGCCGAAGGTTAGAAGAGCCTCAGGAGGTGGAGGAAGTGGATGGTGAGGGAGAGGATGGGAGTCTGAAAATGCGACTTGTGACTGAACATTTGATCATTTCAGTCTTGGGCTGTTACACACAGTGCTTCTATGAACATTCTTACACACACCTTTGAGTGAACATGAGCATGCATTTCTGTTCTACCTAGGATAAAAATGGTTGGGTCATAGAGTATGCATATATTCAGCTTTAGTGGATACTCAGGCTTCATTTTTTAAAACATTTTGCTGTGAAAAATTTCAAACATACAGAAAAGCTGAAAGAATAGTATAGTGAGCACCCACATACCACCACCTAGATTCTATCATTAACATTTTATTATACTTGTTTTATCATATCTCCATCAATCCATCCATCTTCCATCCATTCATCCCCTTTTTTTTTTCCCCAGCATCTACATATTTTCAAGAACCAAAAAATTCCCCTACCTCTCTCACCATCTGGCTCCTCACACCTCATTGGCCATAACTGCTCCCATGCCTATGACTCTACCAATCACTGTCCAGGAGAACAGAAATCACATGATTGACATAGACCAATCAAGATTTACCCTCTGGAGCTGGGGAATAGGATCAGGGTTTGGTACTGAGGAAGAAGGGGGGAAATGGCTGTTGGTTCACTGTCTCCAGACACCACCTTTGCAGACAGAAAAATGGGCTGCGTGGGAGCTAAGCATCCCCCAAGGAAGGGAGCATCCCATACGGCTGAGAGCTGGGCGCCTCCAGTTGGCCGCCTTGCCTCATTTACTCCTAGTTGTGACCCCCTTGGGTCTTGGCAGGCCTTGGGGGCCCTGGAAGCAGGGGATAGATCTGCTTCTTCCATCAGGGTAGGGGAGAAGCAGGAATACTGGTCTAGCTGAGTTGGAGCCGAGCTGCCATCAGGGACCTCCCATCCCTAAGTTCTGTTGACTGGAAAAAAAAAAAAGCACAACCTATAAGTTGAGGATTCTGTCTCATTTGGGGCATTACTGAGGACTTAAGCCTGAGATAGCCTCTCAGATAGCTCTCGGGGACTGTTCCGAAGAGTTAAGTGAGAAGTCAGGATATACAGAAGTTTAAAAAAAAAAACAACCCAGGTAGTTAAACATCAAAAGATGACTGCTAATTAAAGAAAACCCAGACATCTCAGGTTAATGAATTTAGCGCTTTTCTATCTATGGGAAGATGCAAGAGTCTGGGCCTGTTGAAATTATTCCTTTGATATGAACCTTAACTAGATAGGCCCAGTATCCTGTTTTTCTTCATTCTGAATCCCACGTGCACCATTGGCGTGGCTGCAGTGGCTGAAGGCTTGATGGCCACAACACCCTTTGTTTACTGAAATGGAAGGTGACATTCTTTATCCACAGCTCCAACCTTGGGGTGCTGTGTCAACCTGGAAGAGGCCAGGTCTGAGTGAAGAGGCCTGCCCCCCAGTTCAGAACCATGCCTGGCACATAGCAAGTGCTCAATAAATATGCCATTAAATCAATTTTTAAAAAGATTTGATTCTAGGCTTTGGGCAAATTACTAATCCTCCCCAGGCCTCAGCTTCCTCATCATGAAAATGGGAAAGTAAAGAAAAAGGAGAAAGATTGATAGAGCAATCCCTGTCCCACCCTTACATAGCTTCCTGCCCCAGGCCTGCACGCATTACTTGTCAACCCCTCCCATCCTTCTTTCTCTATAAAGGACTGGAGAGAAAGGGCTTCTAGAACCCTGGACCTCCAAGGGCACCCCAGCCAGTAGCACCAGCAGCATCTGGGACCCACCCCAGGCTTCCAGAATCAGGTGATGACCATGCTCATGTTGGAGGAACACTGATTTCCCAGGCACAGCGGATGCTGCTGGTCCAGGGACCACATTCTGACAACCACTCAGCCCTGGCTGCATGTTAGAATCACCAGAGGCTTTAAAAAGTCTGAAGCCTCAGCCTCCCCATTAGAGATTCTGAGTTAATTGATCCAAGATGGGGCCTGCCAAGATATTTTAAAAGCTCCTC